TTTTCCCTCACGTTTCCCGCTCTTTTTTCCCCCTCACGTTTCCTGCCCTTTTCTTCCCTCACATTTCCCATTTTTTTCCCCTCATGTTTCCTGTCCTTTTCTCCCCTCACTTTTTCCATCCTTTTCTCCCCTCACTTTTCCCGCTCTTTTCTCCCCTCACATTTCCCATTCTTTTTCCCCCTCACTTTTCCTGTCCTTTTCTCCCATTTCCTGCCCTTTTCTCCCTCACGTTTCCCACTCTTTTTTCCCCCCATGTTTCCTGTCCTTTTCTCCCCTCATGTTTCCCACTCTTTTTATCCCTCACATTTCCTGCTCTTTTCTCCCCCGTCACATTTTCCACTCTTCTCCCCTCACATTTCTCATTCTTTTTCCCCCCTCACATTTTCTATCCTTTTCTCCCCTCACTGTTCCCACCATTTTCTCCCTTCACAGTTCCCGCTCTTTTCTCCCCACACACTTCCCACCCTTTTGCCCTTCATGTTTCCCGCCATTTTCCTTCCTCTTTTTGCCCATTAGGGCTCAGAACCAGAGCTGACTCAGCGGCCGTGCAGGGCTCAGCGGCCGGTGCAGCGGTCAGTGCAGTGGTCAGTGCAGCGGTCAGTGGTTGGTGCAGCAGCCAGTGCAGTGGTCAGTGTAGTGGTGAGTTCAGTGGTCAGTGCAGTGGTCAGTGCAGTGGTCAGTGCAGCGGTCAGTGCAGTGGTCAGTGCAGCAGCCAGTGCAGTGGTCAGTGTAGTGGTGAGTTCAGTGGTCAGTGCAGTGGTCAGTGCAGTGGTCAGCAGCCAGTGCAGCAATCAGTGGTCAGTGCAGCAGCCAGTGCAGCGGTCAGTGCAGTGGTCAGCAGCCAGTGCAGTGGTCAGTGCAGCGGTCAGTGGCCGTGCAGGGCTCAGTGGCCAGTGCAGCGGTCAGTGCAGCGGTCAGTGCAGCGGTCAGTGCAGTGGTCAATGCAGCGGTCAGTGGCTGTGCAAGGCTCAGTGGCCAGTGCAGCGGTCAGTGCAGCGGTCAGCAGCCATGCAGGGCTCAGCTCAGTGGTCACTCACCCCCAGGGAAGCCGACAGTCAGCAGCACCTCCGGGCTGTCCGACACCAGCTCGGCCTCGGGCAGCTCCTGGGGAGCTTTGTCCAGGTCACGCTGCGGACAAAGGTCAAAGGTCAGGATTGGGGACAGGCTCGGGGGCTGCTCTTGGGGTCAGTGGTCATTTATGGGGTCAGTGGTCATTTTTGGGGTCAGTGATCATTTATGGGGTCAGCGTTATTTATGGGGTCAGTGGTCATTTGGGGTCAACGGTCATTTTTGGGGTCAACGGTCATTTTTGGGGTCAATGGTAATTTTTGGGGTCAGTGTTATTTATGATGTCAGTGGTCATTTATGGGGTCAATGGTCATTTATGGGGTCAGTGATCATTTATGGGGTCAGCGCTATTTATGGGGTCAACGGTCATTTTTGGGGTTAATGGTCATTTTTGGGGTCAATGGTCATTTTTGGGGTCTGTTATTTATGGTGTCAGTGGTCATTTTATGGGGTCAATGGTCATTTTTGGGGTCAGTATTATTTATGGGGTCAATGGTCATTTATAGGGTCAGTGGTCATTTGGGGTCAGTGGTCATTTTTCGGGTCAGTAGTCATTTATGGGGTCAGTGTTATTAATGGGGTCAGCGGTCATTTTTGGGGTCAGCGGTCATTTTTTGGGGTCAGCGGTCACTCACGGGGTCGAAGGCCGGGAGGTCAAAGGGCGCTGGGGCCCAGCCCAGGAACTTTTCCTCAGGAGTCAGGAAGCGCAGCCCCGCGTTGAGAGCGAACTGGGAACACTGGGATCAACTGGGGGAACTGGGGGGCAAATGGGAGGGACTGGGGG